TCCCACCCAAGCCTGTCCTCCTCCTGCTTGGGGAAAGAGAGACCTGGGTCTTGACCGCCCGCCCCCCTCCCCCCCACCGGGCTGAGACCTCCTTTCTCTGTGGTAGGTGGAGGCTCTGCTCTACTCTACTCCTTGGGAGAACTGATTCCCTTTAATGTTCAGTAGGGGTGGGGAGCAAGGGTTTGGAAGGGAGATAATATATCTAATTATCGTATTAACATGGAATGTTTCCTCCATGACTCTCTCCCTGCCTTCCGTTTTCCGTTCTTGAGTTCGGAGTAGAGCAACTGCTTTGGGAGACGGTGGTCGGGCATCCGGACAACGTGGCCGGTCCAGCGGAGTTGATGGCGGAGGACCATCGCTTCAATGCTGGTGGTCTTTGCTTCTTACAGCACGCTGACATTTGCATGACTGCATGGAGTGACGTTACCTTCCCACCGGAGCAGTACCTATTGATCTACTCGCATTTGCATGTTTTCAAACTGCTAGGTTGGCAGAAGCTGGGGCTAACGGTGGTAGCTCACCCCACTCCCCGGATTCGAACCTGTGACCGGACAATGTGGCTGGTCCAGCGGAGTTGATGGTGGAGGACCATCGCTTCAATGCTGGTGGTCTTTGCTTCTTCCAGCACGCTGACGTTTGCATGACTGCATGGAGCGAAGTTACCTTCCCACCGGAGCAGTACCTATTGACCTACTCGCATTTGCATGTTTTCAAACTGCTAGGTTGGCAGAAGCTGGGGCTAACGGCGGGAGCTCACCCCGCTCCCTGGATTCGAACCTGTGACCTTTCGGTTAGCAAGTTCAGCAGCTCAGTAGTTTAACCCACTGCGCCACTGGGAGAGAATATATCTAGCTAACTATCCTATGAATACAGGCTCTGCTCTGCTCCCTGGATGGATGGATTACCTTTAATGTTCAGTGGGGTTGGGCAGCAAGGGTTGGGCAGGGAGAGAAGACATTTATCGTATTATTATGGAATATTTCTTCCATGACTGTATCTCTGCCTTCATCTGGAGTCCTTTGGTTCCAGGGCTTTGGAGAGATGCTCTTTCCCCCTCCTGAGAGTGGAACGCTGGGCAAGGAAGGGTTAAGGGGAGGGAATTTGGTTCCTAGAGAGGCAGGAAGGAAGTGGGCCTCCCCAGACCCACCTTTCCTGCCCCTCTAGGAACCAAACTCTCTCCCCTTAACCCTTCCTTGCCCGGCTGGGAGAGAAGAGTTTCCCCCTTTAACTTCCTCCTCCTCTTCCTCCTCCTTGCAGCCTCTCTTCTCCATCATCATCTTCTCCTTCCCTTCCTCCTTCTCTTCCTCCTTCCGGTGAGCCTTCTTCCAGAGGGCCGAAGAAGGGCCGAAGCCCACCACACCTGGAGGGAGGGCCGGAGTGGGCCCAGGCCTCAATCCTTCCCTCCCAGGCTGGCCTCCTGACTCAGGCGGAGGGAGACACACACCGTGGCCGAGGAGAAGAAGAAGGGAAACCACCCCTTCCTCAGCTCTCCTCCTTGGAAGGAGATGGAGCCTGGCCTTGAGCCTGGGGCCCCATGGAGAGAAGGGGGCCTGGTGCAGAGGGGATATTGGGGGTCAGCACAAGGGAGCAATTGGGAATCCTCCAACGGAGGAAGGGAGGGAGAGGCAGGCAGAGAGAGAGAGGGGGGCCCAGAGCGTTCCCCTCCCCACCCACCCACTCACCTGCCTGCCTGGCTCCTCTTTTCCCCCCTTGAGTGCTTAAATAATTCAGAGTTTGTGTTTGTCATCTGGATTTCCAAATATTTTACTCCAGTCATTATATTGGTTTCAAAGTCTCTTGGTTCCTTTTTACAAGAAAGGCTATGTATCACGAGGCATCAACCGAAGGAATCACGGGGGGATTCAGTGTGGGTTGGGACTGAATGAGAGCTCAGTGGGAGGCCAGGTGGGTCTGGAGGCTGGAGGAGCAGAGGCCCAAGTGGAAGGAGGGCCCAGCTTTACCTGGCTCTGAAATTAAGAAAGGACTTGTTGTTTTTTTACTCTCAAAGAAAAAGCCTCCTGAGGCCTGTTGTCTAATTCTGCCTTTCTTTTACAGATGTTTTCTGAGCATTATGGAGTCAAGCCTGTTGAGGGATTTCTTTCCCTTGAAAGAAGTGGGAGGAAAAGCATCTTGGACCCACTGTGCTTCTTCAACAAACAGTGGTTCCAACATGGAGAGACCCAACTCACCTGGAGCAGGACTTGGGAGCAGTGGAGCATCCTGGGGGAAAACTACACATAAGTCCCAGAGTGTGGACCTTTATATCTCAGACTTACATCGCCAGCGCTTCAGGCATTCCTCCTTCCGAGAGGGCGAGGGACCCAGAGAGATGTGCAGCCGCCTCCACTCTCTCTGCCGCCAGTGGCTGAAGCCAGAGCAACACACCAAGGCGGAGATGCTGGACCTGGTGATCCTGGAGCAGTTCCTGAGCATCCTGCCCCCAGAGATGGGGAGCTGGGTCCGAGAGTGTGGGGCAGAGACCTCTTCCCAGGCGGTGGCCCTGGCGGAAGGCTTCCTCCTGAGTCGGGCAGAGGACGAGAAGCAGGAAGGACAGGTGAGAGCATTCCCTCTTGGCTTCACTCACCTTGGGAGTGATGGGCAGATTAAACGTACATCCTTCATTCCTTCCAAGATGGGACCGATGTAAGGGAGAAGCTGGCCTCTGCTCCCACAGCCTCTTTTCCCACCTGCTATGCCTCTTATTTATTTATTTATTCCAAATATTTGTACCCTGCTCTTTTCTATCCCTGGAGGAGGACTCAGGGCGGCTTTCATCTGGCAACAATTTGATGCCTCCCATATACACACAGATAAAACAACAATTACAAAATAGATAAAACATTAATATAAATTAAATCCATTAAAATAGTGCAAATTGAATTAATTGGCCAATCTAAATCTGAGTTCTACAATCAACAACTTGGTCCGAAGCCTGTCCATCATCCATTTACCATAGCATTGTCACCATTTATCAACCTACTATCCAAATGCCTGGTCCCATTGCCATGTTTTCAACTTTTTCCTGAAGGACAGGAGGGAAGCAGTTGACCTAATTTCACTGGGGAGTGAGTGCCCCTCCTGCTCTCACCTCCATCTCCACCCTAAGCTCGGTTGCTCCTCTACTCCAATTTGTTGGCCCCAGAGATGGGGAGCTGGGTCCGAGAGTGTGGGGCAGAGACCTCTTCCCAGGTAGTGGCCCTGGTGGAAGGCTTCCTCCTGAGTCGGGCAGAGGACAAGAAGCAGGAAGGACAGGTGAGAGCATTGCCTCTTGGCTTCACTCACCTTGGGACTGATGAAGAGTTTAGATGTACATCCTGCCTTCCTTCCAAGATGGGACCGATGTGGGGGAGAAGCCGGACTCTGCTCCCTCGGCTTCTGTGGCCAATCTCAGAATGCAGTCCTTGCACATTTCTCCATACTACATTTCTTTCTCCATACTACTTCTAAAATTCTCTTTGTTCTTTCAGGCCCAAAATAACTGCATTAAAGTCCAACCTGATGTCCCTGAATCAGATAAATCTCCACCAGACACCACCCAGATCCTCCAGCAGAAGGACCTCAGGCAAGAAGGAGATGGAGCTGCAGCCTTGCAGGGTAAAGAGGAACCCTTCTGGGAGTTTTGATGTTTTATGCCAGTGTAAATTCCCCTTCAGGGGATTGTAACAAATGTACAATCAGTTTGAGCTTGAGAAGGTGCACACGCAGGATCATTTGGCCTTGAGATGAGGATATAGGTATGGGATGGATAAAAATGGTGACGCCAGTGTAAATATTGTACAGAGATAGGAAAAGCTGAGCTCATGGATGAAGTTAAAGTTTTAATAGAAAATGTGGTCTGGGTATGGGGTGGGGGGAGGAAAGAAAAGAGTGAATAGAACTAAAATATGTTAGATAAATGCATGTATAATATAGAAAGGAGGAAGAGTGAGAAATAAGAAAAGATTGGGGAAACGTTGACATAGATGAATGACGTGTAAGGAATAAATGTACAACATCTACTCCTATAATGGAGGATAATAGTAATAATAATAATAATAATAATAATAATAATAATAATAATAATATCTTTTTAAAAAGATGAGTATATAGGTATGATTTGGTTGCAAAAGGTGTAATTTCAGTGTGATTTAGAGTTTTCTTTATTGTTATACTTCTACATTTGCATACTGTTGGGTGGGACTGAAAAATCAGCCCTTCAGTATCTTCCCAGGTGGGATCCAAAGATAAGATGAGCCCTGAAACTGAGCTGGAAGACAAACAGACAACAAACAGTAACTTTAGTCAATTAAAATACCAAGCCCAGCACTTGTTTCAGTCAACCCTATTCACAGCACTAGTTGAGATAAAATGTCCTGAACTCCAAAATGTTACATATTCCTGGGCTGGAGAATGTTCCTGTGTCCATAGGGTCAATTCTTAATAGGTTTCTTTTCAGGACTGTAATTGTCATCTCTGAGACATATTTCTGTGATCAGCTTCCCACCTCTTGCTCTCTCTCTCTCTCTCTCTCTCTCTCCCAGGGGCTGGAATGATGTTGTTGCTGAATCCACAGTCGCATCTTCCACTTTGTGATGGAGTGGAACTGAATCAGGTACGCAGAAGGATTCCTGGGAGAGGAGGAAGGTAGAAGCCTGGAGGTCATTGGTTCCAGGCTTGATCATAGAATCCTAGTTGGAAGAGACCTCATGGGTCATCCAGTCCAACCCCCTGCCAAGAAACAGGACAATTGCAATCAAATCACCCCTGATAGATGGCAATGCAGGCTCTGCTTAAAAGCCTTCAAATAAGGAGCCTCTACCACACTCTGAGGCAGAGAGTTCCACTGCTGAACAGCTTTCACAATTAAGAAGTTCTTCCTCACTTTCAGGTGGCATCTCCTCTCCTGAAGTTTGAAGCCATTATTTAACAGAAAAGATTGAACCAACAGAAACATAAATGATTTCAAAGAGATCCTTGTAAGTATTTTTCTAGATTTCCCTGATGTGAGAAAGAAATGTGTTCTTTTTCCGCCAGGGCCCAATCGCCTTTGAGGACATGGCTGTCCATTTCTCCCTGGAGGAGTGGGCTCTCCTGAATCCGGGTCAGAAAGCCTTGCACATACAGATCATGGAGGAGATTCATGGGATGGTGGACTCTCTTGGTAAGGCCCCCTCACGGATGGGGATTTCTATTTCAAAATGTAAGATCCCAATCAGCAGCTCTCTGGAGGAAATAATTTCTGAAATCATTTCAGTCACTGTTCTTGTGAATAATTGGGGCTCGGGATTTTATTGTGCACTGGGTGAGACATACAGCAGTAATCCWACTCTWTGCCYCTCTCTTTCAAGTGGTGAAAGTGTCATTCATGGTAGATTCACAATTGCAGAAATCAAWCTGARTCCATCTTTTTGTATATTTATTGCATTCTAAAGGTTAGGAAATATATCCCCTGCCAATTCCCTAAATTCTCATATGTGAAGAAGTTTCTGCTCCCCTGTAAAAGCCGGGAAGAATTAGACAGGTATTGAAACCAGAGCAATTGGCTGAACAAAGGGAGAGWCCWCAGAATGGCATTTCCTGGAAGTCTTAGGAGGCAATATCCACTCTCTCCAGTGCGGTGTTATGTGGATGTCATTATATCTGGTCGAATTTTGCAGACATTCCTTTTTTTATTCCCTTCTCTGCCTTCATTATTTTCTCCCCTTTTAATTTACAGTCACTATCTTGTATCTTTCCAGCTTTGTAATGTAAAACCGTAACAATCTCTTTAGCATTCTGAAATTAGATATGGGCCCTTCTACATTGGAGCAAAAAAATCCAACCTAAGTGAACGTGGGAAGAGAGAACTGGAGGTTGGGGGAGAGAAGTGAAAAGGAGGGAGCGTTTGTTAAATGAGTGGTAAATTTTTAGTTAGAGCTGTGATGGTGAACCTATGACATGCGTGTCAGCACTGACATACGTAAACATTTTTGATAACACACTGCCCCACGTACCTGCATACAGAAAAGTATGGGGCTGCATGCTGAGAACGACGTTTCATCCTTGGCTCCTGCACGGAAAAGTGCAGTAGCCGAGGATGAAACATTTGCTGTAGTGTTGTGTAGACACTCTGTGTCGGAGGTCTGTAGGTCAAAACTCTGGCACAGAGTGTCTAGTTCTGGGACTTCTGGTTGGGCCGTTAGGGGGTCTTTGATCTCACTTCTGGCCGGCGGAACAGGGAGCAGCGGAATGCCACGGGGGACGCATCTCTGGGGGCCTTGTGATCGCCCTTATCAGTAACCACAGAACCACAACAACCATCGTCCAATCTACTGTTCTGGGGTGTCATGGATTGCTAATGGACCATAATTACTGAGATAAGTGAGGGGGAGGCGGGGACCTGTGCTATGGGTGTTCTTCCCGCAAGTGGAAATAGCGGCAGGCATCTTAATTTACACTAAGCAGGTAAGTTAAATAATTAGTTTTTGGTTTGTTAAATACAGTTGTAGATTACAATGATATATTTTTGTTACTTAAAAACTATAAATATCACAAAATTATGTTTCTTTTTCTCAAAATGATATCCCACACGAGTTATGCTCGCTTTTTTGGCAAGTTTTGACACAGCAGGCTCAAAAGGTTGCCCATCACTGAGCTATAGAAAAAGGCAAGCATTTGAATGTGAAGGGAAAAGTCATCCATTCCCCCAGAGAGAATGAGACAGAATTTTAAAAAAACAGGTTGGGCTGAGGAACAGGTAGCATCTGGAGCAGTGGTTCTCAATTTAGGGTCCCCAGATGTTTTTGGCCTACAACTCCCAGAAATCCCAGCCAGATTACCAGCTGTTAGGATTTCTGGGAGTTGTAGGCCAAAAATATCTGGGGACCCTAGGTTGAAAACTCCTGCTCTGGAGGATATGTTACTCACCTCTCCCTTAGAGGCTCCAGGTAGTCAGTGTCCATCTTTACTGAACAAGGGGTATGGAGAAGACAGCATTTCTATCTTCTTTTCCTCCATATCTATGTTATTTGAAGGATCATTTCAGTCTCCTTCTTATACCATTTCCCCAGAGTCCTTATCACTCACACTGAAGAATGATTGTTTCTCTCCTTCTCCACAGCAGATAACCAGAACACCAAACACAAGAAGCATTTGGGACACAATGGGGGCCTTCCTAGACACCAGCAAAACCACAGAGAAGATGGAGGTTCTGCCAGAGAAAGGCCCTACAAGTGCAATGTATGTGGTCAGTGTTTTACCCAAAATAGGGGACTTATACTTCACAAGACACTCAGTGCTGGGAAAAGCCATTGTAAATGGAAAGTATCAGCAAAATGTATTGCTGATTACAAACCGCCAGATCTAAGCCAAGAAGAAATCTTTCAAGGAACTGAGGATTTCCTAAGCCAGGAGTGTGGGAAATCTTTTATCCAGAGTGCAGCCCTGGTGAGACACAAAAGACTCCACACAGGAGAGAAGTCATACCAATGCAAGGAATGTGGAACATGTTTTGCCCGCAGTTCAAACTTGGCAAGGCACAAAAGACTCCACACAGGAGAGAAGCGATACCAATGTCAGGAGTGTGGGAAATGTTTTGCTTACAGTTCACAATTGCTGAGCCACAAAAGACTCCACACAGGAGAGAAGCCATACCAATGCCAGGTGTGTGGAATATGTTTTGCTTTCAGTTCACAATTGGTGAGCCACAAAAGACTCCATACAGGAGAGACGCCATACCATTGCCAGGAGTGTGGGGAAAGTTTTGCTTACAGATCAGTCTTGGTGAGCCACAAAAGACTCCACACAGGAGAGAAGCCATACCAATGCAAGGAATGTGGAAAATGTTTTGCTCGCAGTTCAAACTTGGCGAGGCACAAAAGACTCCATACAGGAGAGAAGCCATACCAATGCCAGGAGTGTGGGAAATATTTTGCTTACAGTTCACAATTGCTGAGCCACAAAAGACTCCATACAGGAGAGAAGCCATACCATTGCGAGGGGTGTGGGGAAAGATTTGCTTACAGTTCAGACTTGGTGAGCCACAAAAGACTCCACAAAGGAGAGAAGCCATACCTGTGCCAGGAATGTGGTAAATGTTTCTCTGAGAATTCTGACTTGGTGAAACACAAAAGACTCCACACAGGAGAGAAGCCATACCAATGCCAGGAGTGTGGGAAATGCTTTGCTTACAGTTCAACCTTGGTTAGCCACAAAAGACTCCACACAGGAGAGAAGCCATACCAATGCCAGGAGTGTGGTAAATGTTTTGCTGAGAGTTCAGCCTTGGTGAGCCACAAAAGAGTTCACACAGGAGAGAAGCCATACCAATGCCAGGAGTGTGGGAAATGTTTTGCTTACAGTTCAACCTTGGTGAGTCACAAAAGACTCCACACAGGAGAAAAGCCATACCAATGCCAGGAGTGTGGAAAATGTTTTGTTAAGAGTTCAGATTTGGTGAAGCACAAAAGACTCCACACAGGAGAGAAGCCATACCAATGCCAGGAGTGTGGGAAATGCTTTGCTTACAGTTCAACCTTGGTTAGCCACAAAAGACTCCACACAGGAGAGAAGCCATACCAATGCCAGGAGTGTGGTAAATGTTTTGCTGAGAGTTCAGCCTTGGTGAGTCACAAAAGAGTTCACACAGGAGAGAAGCCATACCAATGCCAGGAGTGTGGGAAATATTTTGCTTACAGTTCAACCTTGGTGAGTCACAAAAGACTCCACACAGGAGAGAAGCCATACCAATGCCAGGAGTGTGGAAAATGTTTTGTTGAGAGTTCAGATTTGGTGAAGCACAAAAGACTCCACACAGGAAAGAAGCCATACCAATGCTAGGAGTGTGGGAAATCCTATGCCTACAGTACAACCTTGGTGAGCCACAAAAGACTCCACACAGGAGAGAAGCCATACCAATGCCAGGAATGTGGTAAATGTTTTGCTGAGAGTTCCGCTTTGGTGAAGCATAAAAGACTCCACACAGGAGAGAAACCATACCAATGCCAGGAGTGTGGGAAATGCTTTGCTTGCAGTTCAACCTTGGTGAGCCACAAAAGACTCCACACAGGCGAGAAGCCATACCAATGTCAGGATTGTGGGAAGTGTTTTGCTTGGAGTTCAGACTTGGTAAAGCACAAAAGACTTCACACAGGAGAGAAGCCATACCAATGCCTGGAGTGTGGGAAATGTTTTGCTTGCAGTTCCTATTTGTTGAGCCACAAAAGACTGCACACAGGAGAGAAGCCATACTAATGCCCGGAATGTGGAAAATGTTTTGCTTGCAGCTCCTATTTGTTGAGTCACAAAAGACTCCACACAGGAGAGAAGCCATACCAATGCCAGGAGTGTGAGAAGTGTTTTCCTTGGAAGTTATCACCTGTGAAACACCAGAGCATCTATACACGAAAGAAACCGTACAAATGCCAGGATTGTGGGCAATGTTTTACTCAGAATTCATCCCTTGTAAGCCACCGGAGAACTCATACAAGACAATCTGCCCCAGATTGTGGGAAATGTTTTGGTTACAGCTCAGACTTGGTGAGGCACAAAAGACTCCACACAGGAGAGAAGCCATACCAATGCCTGGAGTGTGGTAAACGCAAATATAATCCTTTTTTTAGGGTGAAAAAGCTCCACTTGTCTTATACTTGGGTGAGGGTCCTGGCGGGAAGGCTAAACATATCCAGCTCTTTAAGCTGTTCCTCATAGGGATTGTTCTCCGGACATTGATAATTTTAGTCGCCCGCCTCTGGACAAATTCCAGTTTGTCAATATCTCCCTTCAGCTGCCGTGCCCAGAATTGAACACAGTATTCCAGGTGTGGTCGGACCAAGGCAGAATAGTCATTCCATGTTATGTGTTCAAGCAAATTGAACATGACTTTGAGGACAATTATGCAATGCATCATTTGTGAGCAAACCGTGTCATATTAAATAAATCATGGCACCAGGCACAAGTTCAGATGAAAACTTTGTTGTATTTTAATTCACCATAGGGAGATATTTTTTCAACAGAAGAAACAGTACCAAAGTCAGAAAAAAATTAATGGAAGTGCTTGTTCATTGGCTACACGTTTGACTTAGACAATACGACCTCAAGCTTTGCTCATAAAAGGTGGGAATCTATCTCCTGACAATACGTGAAACCACAGCACATAATAGATTGCATTTAAATGAGAAAGGAATGGATGGACGGACAGACAATATCCCTCTTATGGGCTGAAAATTGGGAACTACCATTTGCTATCTTTTTGTTGGCAAGTGAAGATCCTTCTGTTTCCTCAGGTCTTTGGGGGGAGGGGGTGATTGGACAGGAAAAAAGACCTTCCGTGTTCTGTGTTTTCTGTATTTGCTGTTCTTCTTCCAAGGGTTTGTATTTTATTTTATTTTAATTAGATTTTAAACTTTTGCACAATGTAAAAAAAAAGCTGTGTCTGTTTTATCTCCTGTAAACATGGAGTCCTTGACTTGGAAAAAATATGAACAATGATTAAGGTAAAGGTTTTCCCCTGACATTAAGTCCAATTGTGTCCGACTCTCGGGGTTGGTGCTCATCTCCATTTCTAAACCAAAGAGCTTGTGTTGTCCGTAGACACCTCCAAGGTCATGTAGCCAGCATGACCTTCCCCTTCTCCTGATTTGATCTCTATTCATATATCTTACTGGTTATCCTTTTCTGATACTCATTTTCTTCTTTCATCTGCTCTTTTAATATTATGTTTTCAAATTTCATTAGCTCTCTTTCCCCTAAGCCAGCAGTTCTCAACCTGGGGGTCGCGACCCCCAGGGGGGGTCGCTTGGCCATTTTGGAGGGGTTGTGAGGCCGCCTCCTTAGGCCCCACGCGAAGCCTCCCTTGGTTGGGCCGTGGTCTCACCGGCCTGCAAGGCCGCAACCCAGCCGAAGGCTCGCCTCGCACGAAGCCTCCCTCGGCTGGGCTGCGATTTCACCTGCCGGCAAGGCCACAACCTAGTCGAGGGGCCCAGGCATCTCCCTAATGCACCAAGCAACAGCAACTTTGTAATGTCACGGTATGTATATTTTCCCCAAACTTTTCCAGTATTTTATGTTGGTCATGGGAGTTCTGTATGCCAGGTTTGGATCAATTCCATAATTGTTGGAGTTCTGAATGCTCTTTAATGACAGGAGAATTATACCTCCAAGCAACTGCAACTCCCAAATGTCAGTCTATGTTCCCCAAACGTTTGCAGTATTTTCTTTTGGTCATGGGAATTCTGTATGCCAAGTTTGGTTCAATTCCATGGTTGTTGGGAGTTCAGAATGCTCTTCAATGGCATGCGAACTAGTCAGTCAAGCAACTACAACTCCCAAATGTCAGGGTCTATTTTCCCCAAACTCCACCAGTGTTCAAATTTGGGCAAATTGAATATTCGTGCTACATCTGGTCCAGATCCATAGTTGTTTGGGTTTGCAATGCTCTCTAGGTGTAGGTAAACTACATCTCTCTGAAATCACTGTCAATTCCTCCCAAACCCCTCCAGTATTTTTCGTTTGACATGGGAGTTTTGTGTGGAGGTCTCAGTGGTCTATGGAAATCAGAGCTGAATCGGTTGAAGGTACTGCAAATCCCATCATCTGTTTTCCATACTCCCCCAAACATATTTTTTCATATTAATCATGATGCTTTAATTATGCTGAATTTGTAACAATGAAAACACATCCTGCATATCAGATATTTACATTACGATTCGTAACAGTAGCAAAATTACAGTTATAAAGGAGCAACGAAAATAATTTTATGATTGGGGGTCACCACAACATGAGGAACCATATTTAGGGGTCACGGTGTTAGAAAGGTTGAGAACCACTACCCTAAGCTCTTTTCCCTCCAACTTCTAAACCATTGCTCTAATTGTGGTAACAGTGGTAACAAGATATATACAGAATGAGGCGCTCGTGGTCTTATTCGAGAGGCGGGAGTATACATTTTTGTCCTGACACAGTTCCATCGCCATCATGCGTTGGAACAGCGAGGAGCATGCTTTTGCCGTTGAGGTCTACTTTTCGAACGGATTTGGAGTGGCAGCCCGCTCTCCAGATTTGGCCCCTTGTGATTTTTTTCTATGGGTTTTTTTGAAATCCCGTGTTTATGTGAACCATCCAAGGACCCTACAAGATTTGAAGACCAACATCCAGGAAGAAATTGCCAACATAATGCCTGCTATGCTGGCAAGAGTCATGACAAACGCCAGAAATCGGTTTACTCAGTGTGAATGGAGAATGGGGGACGTCACCTACCTAATTTGATCTTCAAAACTACGTAAAACAAAACTTTAGGTATGAGCGCCTACATTATAATTTTTTTTCTGATTCATGCAATGGGTTTTATTAAGTTTTGAAAAAAGGAAGTTATGCTGCCTCACCCTGTATAGTTCCCTTTGGCGTTCTAACTAGAGGTCAGCTGTGTCCAGCAGTGCTGCAGAATTCGAAGAGGCACGAGTGGAGAGCGAAAGGGAGAAACGTGCTAAGAGGAAGGTGCCTCAAGCCAACCCTGACCGGGTAGACCTACTTATGACTCCACTATATTGTCCACTCCTTTGTAGTCGTCATGCGTAAGACTGAAATGTGGAAATCTGTGACACCCTTCTAACGCAACTCTGACTGAGTTATAGGTTTTTTCGGGCTATATGGCCATGATCTAGAGGCATTCTCTCCTGACTTTTCGCCTGCATCTATGGCAAGCATCCTCAGAGGGTGTGAGGTCTCACAACCTCTGAGGATGCTTGCCATAGATGCAGGTGAAACGTCAGGAGAGAATGCCTCTAGACCATGGCCATATAGCCTGAAAAAACCTACAACAACCCAGTGATTCTAGCCATGAAAGCCTTCGAGAACTCTGATTTCTCTAAAGTGATTTCTCAAGAACCATGGGCATGAAGAGCCTGCTTGCGAAGGGTGCTTTGGCTGTACTTACTTACTTAGGCGGTCCCTTGTATCTTGAGGATGATTGTCTCCCAGATGTGGTGTCTTGGCGGTGGGCCCATAGGTGGCTGCGGAGCCCTATTCTTGATCCGCATGATCTCCCACAGTGAGGACATCAGTTTCCAGATGGAAGTTTGTCCCGGTCAGGGTTAGCTTGATGCTCCTTCCCCTTGCCACGTTTCTTCCTTTTGTCCTCCATTTGTGCCTTTTTGAATTCCGCAGCACTGCTGGTCACAGCTGACCTCCAGTTAGAGCCCCCAAGGGCCAGGGCTTCCCAGTTCTCAGTGTCTATGCCACAACTTTTGAGGTTGGCTTTAAGCCTATCTTTCAATCTCTTTGGTTGTCAATAGGAGCCTAGTGTCTAGATCTAGGGAAGTCATGCTACCTCTCTATTCTCCTTTGGTTAGACCACACCTGGAATATTGTGTCCAGTTCTGGGCACCACAATTGAAGAGAGATGTTGCCAAGCTGGAATGTGTCCAGAGGAGGGCGACTAAAATGATCAAGGGTCTGGAGAACAAGCCCTATGAGGAACTGCTTAAAGAGCTGGGCATGTTTAGCCTGAAGAAGAGAAGGCTGAGAGGAGATATGATAGCCATGTATAAATATGTGAGAGGAAGCCACAGGGAGGAGGGAGCAAGCTTGTTTTCTGCTTCCTTGGAGACTAGGGCACGGAACAATGGCTTCAAACTACAAGAGAGGAGATTCCATCTGAACATGAGGAAGAACTTCCTGACTGTGAGAGCCGTTCAGCAGTGGAACTCTCTGCCCCGAGTGTGGTGGAGGCTCCTTCTTTGGAAGCTTTTAAACAGGCTGGATGGCCATCTGTCAGGGGTGATTTGAATGCAATATTCCTGCTTCTTGGCAGGGGGTTGGACTGGATGGCCCATGAGGTCTCTTCCAACTCTTTGATTCTATGATTCTCCCACCCAAGCCTGTGCTCCTCCTCCTTGGGAAAAGGGAGCCCTGGGCCTTCATTTTAGTCGCCGTCCTCTAGACACATTCCAGCTTGTCAATATCTCTCTTGAATTGTGGTGCCCAGAATTGGACACAATATTCCAGGTGTGGTCTAACCAAAGCAGAATAGAGGGGTAGCATGACTTCCCTAGATCTAGACACTAGGCTCCTATTGATGCAGGCCAAAACCCCATTGGCTTTTTTTGCCGCCACATCACATTGTTGGCTCATGTTTAACTTGTTTTCCATGAGGATTCCTCAAAGGCCGTGGGCAAGGAAGAGCCTGCTTGTGGTGGGTGCTTTGGTTGTCTCTCCCACCCAAGTCTGTCCTCCTTCTTCTTGGGAAAAGGGAGCCCTGGGCCTTGACCCCAAGCTGAGACCTCCTTTCTCTGTTGTGGGTGGAGGCTCTGCTCTGCTCCCTGGATGGACGGATTCCCCTTAATGTTCAGTGGGGTTGGGCAGCAAGGGTTGGGCAGGGAGAGAATATATCTAACTAACTATCCTATGAATATGGAATTTTTCCTCCATGACTGTGTCTCTGCCTTCACCTTCAGTCCTTTGGTTCCAGGACTTTGGAGAGAGGCTCTTTCCCCCTCCTTCCAGTGTAACCTGGGCAAGGAAGGGTTAAGGGCAGGGAGTGTGGTTCCCAGAGAGGCAGGAAGGAAGTGGGCCTTTCCTGTCCCTCTAGGAACCAAACTCCCTTCTCTTAACCCTTCCTTGCCTGGTTGGGAGAGGAGAGTTTCCCCCTTTGGCCTCTCCTTCCTCCTCCTTCTCTTCCTCCTTCTGGTGAGTCTTCTTCCCATTCCTTCTCCAAAGCCCACCACACCTGGAGGGAGGGCCAAAGTGGGGCCAGGCCTCCTTCCCTCCCTCCCAGGCTGGCCTCCTAACACACCCTGGCCCAGAAGAAGAAGGGAAACCACCCCTTCCTAAGCTCTCCTCCTTGGAAGGAGATGGAGCCTGGCCTTGAGCCTTGGGCGCCATGGGGAGAAGGGGGCCTGGTGCAGAGGGGATATTGGGGGTCAGCACAGGAGAGCAACTTGGGATCCTCCAGAGAGGCAGAGAGAGAGGGGCCCAGGGCTTAGTAATAGTATGATAGCT